TGGTTGTCATTTCGACCCATTCATAAGCTACGTCGACTAGGTCAGCCACAGTCCCAGAGGAAAGACTCTCGGATAGTCTCCAACCTGCTCCAAGCGGAAAGTCCAGAGAAAAGTGTCTATTGCAGCACCGAAGACCTGGATGAGCGAGGAATCGGGGCATGTAAGTGCGGCGTAAGTTAATCCTGAGCCATGATGAGTGGTGAATCTAGATTGGGATCGAGTACGACGTTTCGTGCTTGCTCTAGGTATGTGCATATCCTTGTGGCGACGACAGCTTCCAGACTGCGGTTTCAAGACATCTACGCCTGCCCTCTCCTCTCCTGTACGAGTCCCGGCCGAAAAATGGATCGACGATCGTTGCCACCCTTCGCATGCGCAAAGTGCATGCGGATCTTGGGACTCGTCTTAGCCTGACCTGTTTTCTCATGGTCCGAAATGGTGTCCTTGTAATCTTGTACTGACGCGGCCTCGGCTTCGGCTTCAGCTTCTAGTTTGTTTTTGCCCTCCAGCTCCAAAGTCAGCCTCTGCTTCCGCAAGCGTAGGTACTTGAAGGTTTTGGAGTTTGGCCCATTTTCCAGCTCTTTGCGGATATTGTCGTAATCCCTATAGAAATTGTTCTCGGACAATGTAGACAGCGTTGGCGTCGTTTGCTGTGCATTCTCGTCGCCGTTCTGCTCATCTCGTAGCGGTTGGGTCAATTTGAACTCTTCAACTTCCAAGTCTTTAATCTGCCTCTCTAGCTCTGCGACCTCGTCCTGTATCCTCCTCTTTCTTTGCGAAGGGGTCTCTGCGTCGTCGTCGACGCCAATCGTGTCCATAGCTTGCCCGCTTAGAAAACGATTGACACGCTCCTGTTCTTGCTTATGCATCTTCTTGAAGACCGTCCGATCGGCTTCAAATTCATCATTCGTCCAGAAGAGCGGCAGATTTGCCGGCGACTTGCCTTGCCGGCCCATGTAAATGGTTTTTAGACCTCCTACTGCGCGCAACTCGCGGTAGAAATCGCCTGCAAGATACAAACTGCCTGTCAATACAACGGGCTGGTCTCCTCCCCCAAGGTATTTTGCTGCGCACAGTGCTCGGATGGCTCCACGTACTGGCATGGCTAGCGCAGTGATGCCTGGCACTGCACGCCGTGCTTGTTTCGCCAAATTTTCTGGCTCCATGGGCTTGACCCAAGGCATGCCATCCACAGGACCGAATGATGTAGTAATGACATTATCCCCTGGGCTCAACAACGTCGAAAGATACTTCTCTGCGTCTTTGCCCTCGGTCATGGCGAGCACCCATGTAATGGACTTGCCGCTCCTTGGCCGTGATGCTAGAGTCCGCAGTGTCTTCATCTGGCTGCTCTTGACGTACTCAGCTAGGGCAAGTGCAGCGTCTGGGTTGTGCGCTCCGTCCACGAGTATTTTATGGCCACGACCTCGCTCGTTGCCAAATACAGGCTCCACGTTTATTTGATGAATTCGTCCGAGATTCAAGCTGTTCCTTTTTGTGGCGACCTCGCTCGCAATCGCGTCTGGTTTCATTGTCAGATTCATGGACTTCAGTGTTTCTTGAACAGCCACAATGGCAAGAACAGCATTGTCTCGCTGGAACGGTCGCGCTGGCTCAGCAAACTTGCGCCAGTCATTGCTGGAATAGATGCTTCGCCTTAGCTCAATCGTGTCGCCATGTAGACGCGGCCCAGCCCCAATCTCTTTGGCGTATGTGTCAATGACATCGTGGACATAATATTCGTTCATGGGATTTACAATATATGGCACATTCGGCCGCAATATGCCTGCCTTGTGCTTGGCTATCTCCTCGAGCGTGTTTCCCAGGAAGCCTTCGTGGTCGCGTGCAATTTTAGAAATGACGGAAACGGCTTGGTTGTTGAGTATATTGGTGGCATCGAGCTTCCCACCCATTCCCACTTCGATCACTCCGACCTCGACTCCGGCCTCGTTGAAGAGTGTGAAGGCAGTCGCCGTCAGGATTTCGAAGGGAGAAGCATTGATATTTTCTTCCTTACTGGCCTGTAGAAAGCGCTCCTCTACTTTCCTAAATTGATGCTGGCTGACTACCTTGTTATTGATCAAGATGCAGTCCCATCTGAGATCGTCAGCAAACCCAAGCCCATCCCTGTGACTGAGAGATTCTACCTATCAATCAGATGTGGCGACGTGAATTTGCCCACTTTGATGCTCCTTCGCGTGAGCAAGCCGGCGGCATGTTGGCAGATGGAACCTTTGCCGTTGGTGCCTGCAACGTGGATGGCCTTCCAGGGAAACTGAACATTTTTCAGCAACTGCCCTATCCGCTCCAAACCAGGCTGAATCATGTCCGACGATCGCCGCTAGCGTAGCATAGGCAATGAAAGGCCTAGGCAGACGTGCATCGACGTTTTGAAACTCGGTCCTGCAGGTGTCAGTGAGTCAAAACGGGCACTGGATGGGAAGGCGCGAGCGCGGACGCCCTTGCCGGAAGTGGCAACTACGCTAGTCGCGCCTGCCGACGTGCGCAATGGTTGTCAAGTGCGCTTCAAGACGAGGCAAGAGCGGAGGAAGGCAGCCTTAGAGCTGGATATTATTACACTACAGTCGCCGTGGCTTCTCAAACAACTTCTTCAGTTATTTCTTCGCAGCGCGGCTGCTGTCAGCAAGTTGCTCACCAGGCTTCAGCCTCATCTTTCTTCGCGGCTAGCGCCGTTGCCTCAATTCCGGGGGCTTAGTTCGTCTCCTCTGAACGCCTCCCCAGGGCGCGTACCCATCACCACCACTTTCCCATTCCATCTCTCACTCTATCTCCACACTCAGTACTTGGTCGCGATGGGCATCCCAATCGGCTGGAACATCAAAAGAGAGGATGCGAAGGACAAGGACGTGCTGCGCGCCGACGTGACCGGGCAGCGCTCGCCTATTCGACGGCGCATCAGACCCACGAGATCACCGCGATCGCAAAGTGCCTTTGACACGGACTTTCTGGTCTCCGCGTCACGCCTCCCGCCGCATCCTGGAGTTCTCTCTCGCTCCTCCAACACCCGCACGCGACTGCCCCCGCCACCTGTCCCCGAAGTTTCGAGGTCCTCATTCCGCAGCAACGACGTCGCACGGGACCCACCGAGCCTCCAGCGCGAAGATGCCAGCTTCCGTCGTTCGCAGGCTCGCGTGGATGGATACATGCGCGCATATGCGACGCGCGCCACGCTGGACAACGACCGCCCCACCCCAGCCTTGACCCCGGGTTTTGCCCCAGCGGCCGCGTCGCGCACTGCTGAGCTCGAGGTCTTGCGCGGGAACGCGCGAGAGACGATGCGCGCCACTGAATACACATACCACACCAACAGAGCTGATTCTGCCCGACCGCGATCACACAGCCCCGGCGCGCGACAGCCTTCGCTAAGGGAAGGCGATCGCGGAGAAGCCATCGAAGACGGGCATGAGAGCAGCGACAACAACGCTGTCGGGTTCCCGCCGCTGCGCAGAATGGGTCGCCGCAATATTGCCGATGGACCGCTGCCCGCCAGCTCACTGCGCGAGTCGTGGAGCCCGGCGTCGACTGTCGACGGCCTGGGCGATCGCGACCGCAGCCTCAGCCCCTTCGACGAGAACCTGCAGTGGGACAATTTCCTCAGCACCGTTGTTCCCGATCCTGTCGCACCGACCGCGGAATCGTCCTTTGCCTCTGCCGCAGCTTCAGCCTCGTTCTCCAACTCGCATCCAAGCTCGCGAGCTGGTAGTTCCAACACGTCTGCATCATCTTCACGAACACATCTCACAGTACCGTCGCGAAGACAGTCGCCTGGCGCGCACGACCAGTTCATGCGTGCTTGCGACACCTCCGAAGACGATACCGCATCTGACACGGAGGCTGAGGAGGACGAGACAGCTCCCACCGCCGAGGCCATCAGGCATCGCTACAACCCCATCACCCTGCGCCGCAGAAGCCGACCGTCGTACTTTTCAGACGAGCCCCCCAACCGCGATGCCGACCGCTACTCTCAGAGAGTAATGGAACGCTCCCGCGATGCCAGCTCGTACGTACGCAGCTTCTACAATTCCGGCTCAGCGCATCCAAGGAGCCTCCGTGGAGTGATGAGCAGCCCATACCGAGCTCTCCGCCGCGATCGCCTGATTGACGGCCCACGAGTGGAGCAGCTAGACGGACCCCTAGACGGACCTCTAGACGGACCTGGGCCAGCGAGTGACGACGAGGTCCCGCCTCTGGTCTCCTTGAACTCGCCTCCCCTGGATCAGGAGCTTCGTGAGGCACGCTCGCTGCTCGAGCGTCTCTCGCGCCGCGAAGATGTGAGCGACGACTTCTGGGCGTCCGTTGGCTTGACGCGCTCATTCGCTGATCGTGTTGAAAGCTTCAACGAACGCCAGCCTTGATTTATGTTCTGATGCTGAGACCAGCCGGCTGGTCGTGCATTATAGAGTTGTGTCGCCTTGGTTTTGTTCAGGCGTGGTGGTTTATCGTTTGTATTATGGATGACTTCAAGTCGTTTTGAAATCAGCAGGGATGTTAAGGGTAATACTTTGGTCACGAAAAGTCATGTTGGGTTATGAGCTATCTTGTCACAAGGAGCTATGAGGGATGATAGGGCAGATGACACTCAGGTCTCTCGGGAGGTGCTTTGTATTTCTATCCAGCTACAGTCTATGCAACGACGTGGGAATAGAAAAGCTTTGTGTGTCTATCGACATGCTGTTTCTTGAAGACAAACTGCCCTTGCCGCTGAAGTCTGATTTCAAGCTGTGCTACACTTGTCTCGTCCGCTCCGTGAATTTGTATCTCCATGGCGGCAAACTTCATGAAAAATAGGAATCAAAATAATATCAATTACTGTTGCAGATTGGGCATTAAGACGCTACAAGATGTTTAAGTTGCCTCCGCACTTGAAGTCCGAAGTTCCCCGCACCGCACAAAAATCACCCACATTCCCATCCATCCGTCCGTCCATCTACAGCAGCAAAACACCCCCGAGAATTCCAAAAACGCAAAAAGAACTCATGCATCTCAGGCGGGGCTCGAACCCGCAGCCTTTGGATGACCTTTTCACAGCGGGGCTGTTATGGTGGTAGAAGTCCAACGCGCTACCATTGCGCCACTGAGACCAGTCGATGGAAATATGAGACTTCTGAGCGATTTTTGAAATTGTTACGTTTATATTGTTGGCACACTGACTGTGCGGATTTGAAGAAGGCGGTGGAAGCTTGTTTGGTTCGGTGGAGAAAGTAGGACAGAGGAGATATGACTGGATGAGAAGTGCGGATGCGTCATTGAGAAGTGGGGGTGGAGACATGTGAAAATGCTTGCCATGGTGCCGGGATGGAGCGGCGGTGTTCATGTGATGGACCACGTAAAACAACCGCACAAGACGAAACTAATTCCTTGATCGCTTCTTATTGGGAGATTTGAATCTTCATTTGCATTTGCTTCGATGTTCATTTCACCCCTCAACATCCCACAACATGCTAGCATTCCTGACAAACACCTCTTCCGACAGCCCCTCCGCGTCCGTCCACTGCAAGCACTTATCAACAAATGGCTTGACATCAAGTCCATCGAATCGCGTGTGTGGCCAATCTGACGCAAAAACTATTCTGTCCCCTGCGACCTGCAACAACTCCTTCGCCAGGGCCTCAATACCGCGCATTTCTGGGTCTGCATCGAAGCGATACGCGGCTGAGAATTTGACCCATGTATTCCCGCCACGCAGTAGATTGACGAGCGACTGAAAGCCGGTCAGAGCGTAAGGGTTGATAGGATGTGTTCTTTTCTCTACAGGTGGGAGAGTTGGTGCGCCGAAATGTGCGATGCACAATTTCACACCAAGGTCTCCCGAAACACGCTCAAGCAGGGGTATATCCTCCATGCCGATGAATAGTTCGAGGACCCAGTTGAGTGACTTTATCGCGGCTGCGTAGTGGTTCAGAGTGACGTGCAATGATTGCTCTGTGAACTGGGTGTTGTTGGATTTGAGATTCAGACGCACGCCACGAACACCGAGTTCATGCCATTCCTTGAGCGTTGCAAGTTCTATTCTATTGGGATCGATGCCGACGACGCCTCGGCCATGGCGGGGGCCGATTTCTTTGAGTGCGTCGAGCAGACACGAGTTGTCGTTGCCGTAGATGGAAGGTTGCACCAAGACAATGTTCGGCACACCGATGCTCGATTCGAATTTCATGGCATGCTGCAGGCTATGGAGAGATGGCGTATAGGCAGCCGTTGGGGCAAGAGGGTAGTCAGGCGATGTCACGTGCATGTGGCAGTCCCATGCTTGTTTTGGCATACGCTGCGTAATATTGGGCGTATCAATTGAGAGGGCTCGTTTCTGTGATGTTGACTCATGGCTGAGAGCTAAAGCCTGGAAGAGCTGTAGGTATTTCTGGGTATGCCTTAGAAAAAGTATAAGTATTGGATGAATACAATCTTTGAGGACGGTTGTGAAAGCGACCGTGCGAAAAGACATTTTCATGAAGACGACAATGAGAAAAGACGTATAATTACCCAAATTTTTGGTAGGATGTCGCGGAAATATACTGAATGGTTTTCTGTGGATATCGGCGCATGAATGTAGCCATCTGGGGCAGTCCAACAAGACCAACGAAGGCGAAGGCCCACACACAGCAGATAAGGTGAGCGGTCCCACCAATGGCACCGTCGTGAGTTAACAATCGTGTTTTCTGAGACTGAATTTCCAGCGGATGATATCCGATCGCGGAACATGGTTACTTAAAAACAACATTGGTGACCTTGCTAGTCGTACGGAAGTTGACCGAGCTAGGTAGAGAAGGGATCAGCGGTCCCCACGGAAGTTGACCGAGAATCTGCGCTAAGTATCTCCACAACACCTCTCCATACCCCGGATAGCAACACCCCAGACTCGCGAATGAAGCATGAGAAATCTATAAATCCTGTAGTCCTTTCACTTTGTGTCTATCATCTTGGTCTCTGGATCTTGCATCAGCATCAACATTCATCCAGTTGCAAACATGGTACTGATCGCATCACCAACCTACGTGCTTGCAGTTATCGTGTTGGCTTTTGGTGGCATTCCAAAAGGTATTCATACTGATCAGAAGTATAGTACTACTTTACTAACGAATAGTCCCAGGTTACGACGAAGGTGGCTTCTCCGCCAGTGTCACCCTGCCTGCTTTCAAGAATGACTACGGCCTCAACAAGTCTCTTTGGGTCAACAACGCAACTGGCCTCGCAAACCGAACTGCCAACATCAGTTCGTTTGGCGTGCTTGGGGCTGCGTTTGGTGCGTTGATTGCGTTCTTCCTCAACGACAAGATCGGAAGGCTCTGGTCATACCGTCTCGCAATATTGATCTGGGCAAGTGGCATCCTCATGCAGGTCTTCTCATCCGGGATATTCGCCTTCATGCTCTTTGCAAGGATATGGGGAGGACTAGGTGCTGGAGGCCTTACGGTGATCGCGCCGCTGTTCTTATCAGAGATCGCGCCGACAAAATCCAGAGGAATGGTGGTCAGCATGTACATGGTCGTGCTTCTGTCTTTCCTATCCTTGGGCTTCTTCATCAACTACGGTGTCAGCAAGAACATGGCCCAAGGACGATCGCAATGGCAGATCGTTCAGGCGATCCCCTTGATCCCCGTCGGCGCAGCGTTCCTGGCATCCTTCATAATTCCAGAGAGCCCTCGATGGCTTGCGACGAAGAATCGCCACGAAGAATGCATGATTGCCATCGCACGATTGCGCGGTCTTTCGCGAGACGATCCAACGATCGTGATTGAATATGAGAGAGTCGAGCTAGAAGCCAATGTTTTGGTCGAGATGACAGGCGCCTCCATTATCGACACCGCGAAGGAATGTTTCACGATATCCACACTCCGCAGTCGCTACTTGCTCGCCATCAGCATGCATCTGATTGCCCAATGGACTGGCGGCAACGGCATCACGTACTACATCAGCGACATATTCCAATATGCTGGTATCCGCGGATCTCAAACGTCCCTCATAACGTCCGGTGCGTACGGAGTCGTCAAGTTGGTGGTTACCATGATCTTCGCCTGGGGCCTAATCGACCGAATCGGCCGAAGGCGGTGCTTCCTGGCCGGCCTCACACTCCAGGGCGCGACACATATCTACATGGCGATCTATTTCGGCGCGATTGGCGCAGGAAATAGACATGCTTCAGACGCCGCCATTGCCTCCGTCTTTGTCTACGCGACTGGCTGGTCGATAGGCTTATGCACGATACCGTACATTTACGGCGCTGAGATCTTTCCGACCAAGAACCGTAGCTTTGCCTACGCGACCACCATGTCTCTGCATTGGTTTTGCCAATTCGCAGTGGTACGAGTGACACCTGTGATGCTCGCGGCGCTCGATAAGTGGGGCGCATACCTATTTTGGGCGATCATTTGTGCCGTTGGGATTGTGGTGCTTGGACTGTGGGCACCGGAGACCAAGGGTGTGCCCCTAGAGTGTATGTTCCAGCTGTTCGAGCCACCTTGGTACAAATGCTGGAGGTCCAAGTTGGATGCCTCGAGACTATATCAGGGTGTCTCTGATGCGAAAGGACTCGAGAAATGTACGATGGAGCGCACAGAGGAGATTCCAAGCCCATGACTCCGTTTGTACCGGTCGGAATTGAATTCAGGTTTAACCTCCAATCTGTAGAGTTTTTCGAGATTGTAGAAGTGTGTATGATAGTTTGGAACCACTTGTCGGAAGCTTAGCGCTTATAGTTGACGTCTTTGAAATTAAAAGATCGTGCTACAGTCAATACATATTGACGCCCGGATCCATGATGACGCTGATGGGCTCGATGCGCGAGAAGTTTTCGAACATCTCCAAAGGCATGTCTAGCAAATTGTAGTGCATCGAAGTTCCAGACTGGTCCAAGTAAAGTTGGTCCAGTAGTATTGTATCTTCATAATTGCTTAATGGGTCCGTTGTTGACTGGTTAGTAATGGGCGGAGGAGGAGGAGCATGCTCGTCCATGGACAAGGACTGTAACGACCGCGTCGCAAGTTGCTGGTTCCGCAGGCCTGTGGTGGAGGATGTTGTCGGCTCCGGCAGCTGTATGCCGAGCAAGTCAAGCTCTCTCGACATCAAGTGACAGGCTGTGGTCAAAACTGTGGCATTCAATTAGAAGCGCTAATAGCTGTACACTGAAGACTTACCGGGGCTCGTCTCGCGAAGTCGCTTAAGAGTGCCTACACACAGCGCCAACCTTTCAAGAGTACTTGGTGCAGCATAGCCGAGTGCCTGAGCCTCTAGCAAGAAAATAGAGCCTGCTGTATACACACTGTAGGCCAATGCTAAGACCACATGGCTCTCGCCGAACGCACCACTATACAGGGCGAATAGTGCGACGATTGACGTTGCTGATGACACGCACTGTATCAGAGGATTGTGCTCCGCAATCGCCGCGGCTAACTCTGGCTCACGGCTGAGTTTCAATTTGGCACGATTCAGCAAGATGTTGATGGTATGGTAGAGACAACTACACACTGAAATAAGTGGATGCCCCGCAACTGCACATCTTGTCTTACTTGAGTGTTACAATATGACTCGGCGGGCATTCTAAGTCCGACAATGTCAAGTCAATTCTGAGGTGATCCGGCAGATCTCGCCACCAGTCACGCAGCCTGGAGCCCGCTGCAAGGGCATACTCGTAGGCATGGGATGGCGCCAGATTCCGCGACGGATTATAGAGATAGATGAGGATCTGGTTGAGAACTTCTGAAAGCCCGCAGACTTGTATAAAACAGGATACTGAGTGGGCCTGTTTCGGCGAATAATGCGAAAATGGAATACCATGCGGTGTCCAGATGTCGAGATCAGCCGTGTCATCCACTATCATCTTTTAGTAGCCATCCAACATGACAAGATCGTACTTACTCAACAATTTCGGTGGACTGATTTCTGAGTTCTGGATCGCAGGCGATCGTCCGAAGTACAGCGAGATAATCTTGTCCCATAAATAGCAGCTCCAGAACAAGCGGTTGCGGATTTCGACTTCTTCGGCTGAGAGTTGATCCGCTTTTGCGTACTTCTCATCATCAACACAAATACCCATATCATCGATGAGTCGAAAAGCCATGCCACTGTACAGCCAAGCTTGTGTTCG